GCACAGAGCCCTCAGCACAAGGTGAGTTACCCAAACACGATCTGAGGTTACATTGCTCTCTGCGGGATAAAGGCAGGGAAATGTATTTTCTCCAGGGCACAGGACTCAGAACACAACACATTCAGCACACACAAGCTGCTGTTCCAAGGTTGCTCCTGCACTTACACACAAGCCCCAGGAAGCAAAAAGCAACAGAGACAGACCCTGGGCTCCCCTCTTGTTGCCATGTTCTCTCTCGGCTGTTCCTTTGCTGCTCTTCCTTCCCCTGAAACTCTCACCCGTGGATTTTCCACTTTCTGCCAAGATCACAGCACCAAAACCTAGACCATGATGTCTCCCCTCTTTTCTGGTCACTGAGCAGACCCTGAAGAGCAGAGAGTGAACATGCTGTCCATGGCTGTGTTGGGGTTGAGAGTCCTGCTGGCAAAGAGCATCGCCTTCAATACCCTCATGAGCATCAAACTGTTTCTTTTCTGAGGTAAGGGAGCTCACACCTTGGTGTCTGGAAAGCCTGGGAGCATATGCCAGGAGTGACTTCCTGTCCCTGTGTAGGTCCTTAGCCCCACAAGGAATCAGGCCTATTCATCTGCTCCTGAATCCATTTCACAGCCCTTGCAAGTATTCTGGCCAATGACCAAACCACACACAAGAAAACCAATTCCCCCCCTCCAAAAGCTATTAAGACAAGCCCACCCTGACTCCCAAAGGACAAAGGAAAAGGCATTTCTCTGTATCCAAAGCTCAGTTCTTAAGGCTGATTCCCAAATTTTGTTTGCCTGAGAAACTCTGGTATTACCTGAACAGCCTAAGAAATATCTCATTGACTATATCAAGTGGCAGAGCACAAAGCCTGGAGAAACATCCAGACAAATAAGCATTCAAAGGCAAGGATCCCAAAATAAAAACATGTGAGAGTAAAGAGAGGAAGGGGGAAGATTTGAAAATTAAAGCATCTGAAGAGGAACAAAAGATAATCCAGCCTAATTTTTGTGAGTGTATCTGTCCTCATCTGACGGCTATCAAACACTGGTTCATAGGCCCAATTTCATTAAATGCACTTTAAACCTCCCTTTGCTCTTCCAGACATGGGCAATGAACCCAAAGAAGAGCAGCAAAGAGCGTGAACCAGCAGCACAAGGGGTTGAACCAGCAGGGCCAGAGCTGCTGACAGAGACCAGCCAGGACACAAGGCAGCACCTTCCCCTGCAGACATGCAACACTCTTCACTCCTGCCTGGCCAGCTGATTTACACTGAAGAGTTTTAAGTGCTTTTGCTCTTTCCTCTCCTCTGACAACTGAGCACAGTGGATTTATCCACATCCTCCTGGCTAAGGAGATCCCTCCCACTCTTCTGCCATTTGCACACCAGTGTCCAACCTGCTTCAGTAGCTTTGAAAACTCCAGTGCTCACTGCTGAGAGATGCCTTTGAGAAGCACCTTTCCCAGGCACGTTGTGTTACTGCCTGAGGAACTGGAGTGGCACTGCTGGGGGAATTCCAGCCCACGAGCTGCCTTTTGTTGCTTAGGATTTAGATTGATTTAATAAGTGTGTATTGCAGATAAGAAGAGCTCTGTAGAATCTGAAGTGATTTATTTCAACCAGATATTGTTCAATTCTTGATTAAGCCTGCATTTCTTCTGCCAAATGTATTACACATCCATTTTAGATTCCTGCAGTAGTGACAAAAATAAAGATGTACTAGCACAAAATACTGTGGGTTTTCTGTGTTTTTTTCTTCTAAAGCTGGGATGGAAATTGCTGAAATCTAACTACCCTAGAAGCCCACTGGGATCAGAAACACAGCTTTGATATTGCAGATTTCCTGTTGGCTGAATTTGTCTTTTGCAGACTTGGTGCAGGGAAATGTCTCTGGCACATTCAGGAGCCTCAGTGAGGAGAGTCCTTGCTGAAGGCACGAGGGAGGAAAATGCTCCTGTCAGCAGGGAAGAAACCCTGCTGCTGTTTTGCACTCAGGGACAGGAGGCAGGGGCCACCAGAAAATAATCTGGGCTGCTTTGATGGAGTGATAGTTTCCATAGCAACTTGGCTCTTACCTAACAGAGCCCAGCCCACACCTTCCCCAGCTCATGCCCCTCTCACCAGCTACAGGCAGGATGCTGTGGTCACCATTTCTGACTCAGTCACACCAGGCAGCATCAACCCTCCCCTGCTTTTGAAAACACAAGGTAACCACATCCTGAAGGGAAAATAAGGCTGTGCTGCCCCTGCCTGAGCTCCTGCAGCCCTCAAGAGAGCCTCTGCACGGCACACAGCAAGGGCTGCTGCACTGAGCTTGCTCTGCTCACACCCTCAGGCCCTGCAGACACCCAGACAAGAGCCCCAGCCCCTGCAGAAGCTCTGTGAAATTTGCATGGCAAATCCAAATCCACTGAAATGCACGTTTAGTGCACTCTACCACCACACCATCAATCAGGGGGAGATGTTCACCAACATTTCTATACTGATTTTCCAATGACACCAGAACCTTTTTCTCAAGCACTCCACACCTTTTCCCAATCTCTCAGGCAGATTTCTATTTTCAGAATATTCCCTCAGGCAAAACCAGTGGAGTCAGATGCACAGGAGGGAAAGGTCATTAAAATACCCTCTGTAAAGAAGCACATTTGCATGTGGAATTATCCTGACATCTGACAAAACAATATTGTCCTGATTCCAAAATAATGGCAGATAATTATAAGGAGAACTCTTTGGTACAATACATTTTTACAGTACTATTCTCTTCTCCTAGAGATTAATTTACATCCATGTTTGATTGTGCTCATAGAGCCTTTGCAAATCTCCAGGGGTTGAGCCACTGACCCTGGAGACATTCAAAAGCCACCTGGACGTGGTCCTTGGCAAACAGCTCCAGACAGTCCTGCTAGAGCAGGGGACACCCAGTCCCCTCCAGAGCTCCCTTCCAGCCCCAATCCTTCTCAATTTCTGTGACATCTTTCTCATACTGGGGGCAATGAGAAGAAGTTCAAAATATCTTTATATACATTTAGTCAGGGGTTTTGTTCACCTTTGCCCAGGGGGAAAGGAACTGAAGTTTCTTTTCACAGGACTGTTCCAGCACTCCAGGCATGATGAGCTTCACATCCCAGCAGACTCGGAGCAGCACAGAAGATACTCAAAAGATAACGACCATTAATGAACATCAGCTCCAAACATCAGCCCTGGCAAGGTCAGAGACACCTGGTCTGGGAAAAGGTTGATGAGAGAACCAAGACTGAGAACCAAAATATCATCCAAGGTGCAGGGATCCGTAGGAATTCAAACACTACAAACTGTTGAACCTGGGAGCAGTGAACATTGAACCAATGAATTTCCCTGGGTTTTGACTGTAGAAGTACAAGAAAACTCCAATGAAAACCTTGTGTGATGGAAGGATTTTCTCTGCAGAACCTGTGCAATGTGTGGATGAAATTATTTCTGTTACACATCTTGGTCAGAATAAAGTTGATTCTCTAACACTATTCCTGCAGTTTCAGTGACAAAACCAACCAACTTCGATAAAACTTTCAATTTGAGGAGAATTTTCACCTCAAGCACATTTTCCTCCTCCTTGGTGAGTCTCACACACCAAGTGTGGTATCTGACATCTGCCCTGCTCAGCAATTCAAAGTGGTGAGAGCTCTCTCCAGTGGAGAGAATATTGAAAGCATCTTGAAAGAATAAACCTCTCTCAAAGAGGTTACTTCGGAAAGCATGGTGAAGAACACCATGAGAATGGGCAACACTAAACACCTTTTTGTACCACTGAACCCTTCAGTTTTCTTACACCACATTAAAAATACATTGGAATAATTCTATTCCTGCATCTGCTGGTCATAATCTGACCTGTTTTGTGTCCCAAAATCCTATAAACTTCCTGAAAAAATTAGATCTAACATAAACAGAAACTCAAAAGGAGTATGGTTAATTACCTGACTATAAGGGCAAGTCCTATTTCTCTTTTTCCCTTATATTTCAGTCAGCAGATGTTGTCTGAACTGAGGTAATAAGAGCCCAATCTCCCCCTGCAAATCTATTCAGGACTGGGGAGTGCAGAGCTCTGGGCAATGTCTGTCTTTCCAAAGCACAACCTTGAAAATAGATGTCAATTCTAGGATTTCTGTAGGGAGGGCCACGGTTGATCCCTGCCTATGCCAAAGCCTCCCACAACCAGGAAAATTCCTCTTTTGTGACCTGTATTGAAACATAACCTGCAAGGAGACAGAGTAGAGACACCCCAGCCTGGATTATATGGAGACCTCTAAGAGGCACTGTGCAAATACAGTTTTATTTTGATGACAAATAGAGTCTCTGGCCATGGGCTTCCACCTGCCTGGGAGCACTACTAGATCATCCTTGGGACAGTATCTTTCTCTAACACTTGACAGGAGCCACCTCCAGAGGCTGAGAGTTGCTGTCCTCTCCCCAGTCCCCTTCTCAGTGCCCACAGCCCTGCACAATATCAGCATGGGGAGCTCATAGGGGAACACACACAGGGTTAGGTCCCACAGCCACAGGAACAGCCCCAGCAGCATTGGCACCACTGGCTCCAGACCTGATACAACTAATGCTGAGATCAGATTGGTCTGCAGCCCACTCTGGGCAGATCTGGTCTTATCTCAACCCTTCATGCCCCACACTGGATGCCAAAGGAGGCTGTTGTGGTTTAGGACTGGAATTTCCCAATCTAGAGTTCCCACTGAGTCACTCCAAATCAAGCCGGAGGCTCTTCCACAGGATCACACAAAGTGTGAATATGGAGAGGGCTTAAGAGAAAGATGGGGACCACGCAGGGTGAGAGACAGGCAGGAGGGCAGCAAGAGCTTCAAGTTGTGCTCCTGGTGCCCCACCTCTCCCCCTCAGTGTTGTCATAGGCAGAGGGAGGGACCAGCAGAGCCTGGACCTGAGAGCAGTGACAGAGGCCCAGGCAGGGCAGGTGTGGGCAGAGCTGTTGTGCAGGCCCCGAGAAGCTGCAGAGAGGCCACTGAGAGCGGGCCTGGCCATGTGGAGTGCCCTGTGCCTGGGCTTCTTGCCCATTGTAGGTAAGTGAAGGCAAGGGCTGCTGGCCCCAGGAGCTGAGCGTGGCCCTGGGCTCTGCAGGGCTCTGGGCAGCTGTGCTGAGCGCTTGCAGCCGCAGCTGTGCCCCGGCTCCAGCTGCCCAGCCCTGCCTGTGGAGCACGGCGAGAGCAGCCCTGCTCCTCTTGTGCCTCTGAGCTCGGCACCTCCATGCCAGCTGCCTCCTCTGCAGCCTGGGCACACGCAGGGCACCTCCCTGCTGCACTCACATCTCGGGGCCCAGCGCTTTGCCCTGGCACTGGACACTGCTCCTGGGCCACTGCCGCCCCTCTGGCACAGACCAGCTGGGCCATGGCAGCACAGGGCACAGGCCCCACTGCCTGGGACAGCCCTTGGTCTTTGCTCTGCTCACCCACAGCAGCTTCAGCGACAGGACAGTGGGCTCCTCACCATCCTGTCTTGGCAAGGACAAAGGAACTTATTGCCCCATGGTATAAATCCTTCCTGCATTTTTGGGGAAAACCAGGAAAAGCTTCCTGTCTTACTGGGGCAAGGATGGAGGGAAATGAGGTGTCTCCTTCCTTGTGAGCCTTGCTAGCTGCCACCAGCTCTGCCCATCTGTGTCAGCTGGCCTCAAAGAGGATTTTGTCCTAGAACTGGTCCAGCGCCAGTGCAAGGTCCCACCAGCATTGCCGTGACCTTTGCTGAATCTTGCAGTGACTGTGCCTTGTTCTCACTCTCTGCAGCCGTCTCGCTCGCCAGTGCAGCCACCTTGGAGCAGCCCTGGCAAGTGACCGTGCAAGAGGGAGATGAAGTCACCTTGCAATGCTGCATGAAGGGAGGTGATATGTACTACTACTACATGTACTGGTACCGTCAGGACCCACAGAGCAAGCAATGGATTACAACAGGTGATTCTACATATGAAGGTTTCAAGGATCGCTTTAAGGCAAGACTTGAGAGCTCCAAGAACAGCTACACTCTGCAGATCCTGGCAGCAGAGCCAGGCGATACAGCAACGTATTACTGTAGAGGGGACTCACTCCGGAGCAGCTCTGCAGCAGAGTGAACCAAAAACCAGCAGATGGGGAAGACAGATCTCTCAGCATTTCTTTCTGGCAGCTGCTCCCCAGGGCTCTTGTCAGGCAATGGCAGGTGCAGGAAACGTCCCTCTGGCCTGGGGGCACTAGAAGGCACTGGAGGGAGGCTGCCAGAAGGGCTGGCACCATTGATGGTGCAGGAGGATCTGTCCTGGCAACTGCAGAGGCTGCAGTTTGGGGAAGTGCAGGTTTAGTGCACATTGCCCGGGCTCCTGTCCAGCACAGCCTCATTTCTCCTTGGTGCCTTGGCTGCAGATCCATGGGATGATAGGGATGTGTGGCTGGAGCTTCCACAGTGCTGTTCTGGATGCAGCCAGGCAGTTTAGGAAAGCCAGATCAGCAGGGATGACATTGCTCTACAGGGTGGCTGCTACAGAGCACCTGACTGGGAAGAAGGAGTTGAAGTGTGGTGAGTTCACTTTGGTTGTCCTCCAGGGGCTCAGCAAGCTGCTGTCCCAGTGCCCTCCTCTACTGGACAGGAGGAAAAACACACAATTTATGTTTGTTGGTCCAGATAAGGACAGGAAGATTTCCCAGCAGTGCCATCATGTGCAAACACATTGACTTGGGGAAAGGACTTTATGTCATTGCCAATCTAATCAATATAGGTCAGTGAGAAATAAGAACAAAGCATGAAACATCTCCTCCACCTGATCTCTGCACAGGGATGTTGAATGTGGCTTACAATCACTTCAAAACATGATTTCTTTGCCATGTCTCCTTTCTCATTCTCTTTTCCTCCTTCAGTCTGGAGTCCATCCCACAGAGGACATTTCTCCAGGAACTTCTCCAGTGCAGGTTCTTCCCTTTGGCTGCAGTTCCTCACAAACTCCTAAAGCCTAATGTGTCCTTTCCATGGGGTGCAGCCCTCCAGGAAGTGACCATGGCACTGTGGCTCCTCTGTGGGGCACGGGCCCTGCCAGAAAACCTCCTCTGGCATGGGCTACTCACTGCATGGGACCACAGCTCCTGCCAGGAGCCTGCTCCAATGGGAGCTCTCCATGCAGTCACAGATTCTGTCAGGCCATTCCACTTACACCTGTGTGGGGTCCTGCACAGTCAATATTTGCTCCACCACCTATCCCCCACCAGCTGAGAAGGACAAACCTTGGTTTTCAACCTTGGGCAGCTGGGGAATGTCTGCTCTGGTCTCTGCAGCACCTCCCAGCCCTCCTTCCTAAATCCTGCTCCTTGCTAATTGCAATACTGATGCTGAGAAGAATGAGACCTGCCTGAGACTGTGAGATGTTACCTCAGCCTTTGGTTTTCTGAAGGCCCAGACTACACCAGCTCTTCCCAGCTCAGAATTCCCTGGAGCAAAGACAAAACCCTGGAAGGGCAACTCTGCTCAGCTCCTCTGTGGCTCCCATGGAGTCTTGGATTTGGCTAGGCAGGAGCTCAGCCCAGGAGAGGAGAGGAACAGGCAGGGACAGAGACTGGAAAAGGGACAGGAGAAAGGAGAGGAATAGAGTTCATTTTCCTCATAGTAGCCAGAATGGGACCATGTTTTCAATCTGTCCTTGAAAGATTGTTGGTAATTCAGGGATGTTTGAGTTATTGCTAAGCAATTCTTACATGGAGTCAAGGCCTCTTCTGCTCCTCATTCCACCCACCAGTGAGTAGCTGAGGGTAGACAAAATCTGGGAGGGAACACAGCTGGTTCAGCTGACCCCAGCTGACCCAAAGGGGATTCCAGGCCATGGGACATCATAAAGATGAGGAAGAGGAAGGAAAGGGGGTGTACTGAGTGATGGCATTTGTATTTCCAGGTAACCATTAAACATGACAGAGCTCTGCTTTTCTGGAAGGTTGAACTCTTGGCTGTGGATGGGAAGTTGTTTTATATTACAACAGTTCTATTATCATTATATATTGTCTTCTATATCAAGAGTTCTGTTGTCTTATATATTAAGAGTTCTTTTATCATTATGGTGCAAGGATTCTGTAGCACCAGAGTTTCATACTTCCTCAATATTTCCTGTAAGCAGTTCCTCTAAACACTGGCTGTTCTTGGTCCTTGCAGCAGCCATTTCACACCTGTTCCCATCAGTCCACTCTTTTATACCACTAGTTCTTATTGGCTGCAGGTGTTGCCTGTTATCATCCGGCCTGCTCCTAATCTTTAGTAATAGGATCCAGCTGCAACTCGTTGGGGGATAAGATTACATTCCACATTACCCATATTGTGTCCTCCTACAGGAAGTAGTCCATGAATTTCTTGCTTTCTTTGCTCACACATACAGTGTTTGCTTTATTGTTAAAGTGTTATGTGCTAAAACAATGAATTTTCTCACTTTTACCCTTCCAATTTTCTCCCAGTTCAATGTGGGGGCAAAACAGCAAGCAGCCGTGTGGTGTTTAGTTAACATCTGTAGTTAAGCCATGACAAAGAAACACAATGGGCACTAAAAGAGCTGCAGTTTTAACCGGGAAAAGCAGAACTGAACCACATTTGGATACTTCGTGATGTCTAGGGAGACTCACAATAACATTGCAGTAACACATAACAACAGTCAATTGATTGTATCTGAAGAAAAAGCAGCACTGCACCTAGAACTGCACTGCTAAGATGGATTTCCCAGGACATGATGAAAAACTCCTTCCCTCCACTCCCAGCGCTGCCTCCATGTCAATAAACACAGCTGCTCTTCTTCTGAGCACTGTGCATTCATTCCTTTCTTTACAAGTGTAGGTTTTCATGGAAGACATAAGGAGACCTTTGCAAATGCATCCATGGCCTTGTTCCTGAGCACAGTGCCCGAGGCATCCCAAACAGGAGCTACAGATGCCAGAGGGTCAGGCAGTTCTCCCCAGGCTTTGCCACAATTCCCACCTTTGTCACGTGAAAGCAGGAGGCTTCCTCAAGCCTGAGTGTGAGGAGATTTCCTTGAACCCTAGTGTTTAATTTCCCTGTCAGTGCCCCAGAAAAGCCAAGACCCTTGTGTACATCCACTCTGTCAGTGTCCCATTAGCGGGGCCCTGCGCTGAGCCATCCTGCAGGATCAGAGGGCAGCTCTACTGACTCAGTCAGGGAAACACCATCGGAGTGAGGGAGACCCCACAGCAGGTCTTCCCCTTTATTGGAGTGTGTTCCCTGCTGCTGGTGACTGCCAGCACCCAGGAAGGATCCACACTGACAATTTTGGAATAACACTCCTGGAAGCCCAGGGTCCCTGAGGGAGCATCCCCCACTGCTTGTGGGAGGCCGGCTACCACTGCCCAGCCCTGCAGTTATCTGTGGCTCCTTAAACCTTTTTGCTACACTTTAACCCTACACCCTGTGTCCACCCAACCCCTGCTTCTCCTGCCAAAATTCAGAGATTTTGCTACACTTTCTTTGCCACCCATGTACACTCACCTCTGTTGTTCCAGCTCTCCACTCCGAGGCTCCTGCTGGAGCACAATTCACCACCCTCAGTGGCACTGAGACCAGCTGCTCCCCGTGAGTTTTGCAAAGGGAGCCACCTCCCCTCTCCTCCACCGCCTGAGCCGCCATCGCCTCATGAGGGAGCTGAGCTCACGCCACAGCGCCCCCTGCTGGCACCGGGGAATCACCGCACCCGCCCTGCCCGGCCGGCAGCCAGCAGCGCCCCTGCTGGCTGTGCCCGGAACTGCACCGAAGGGGAAAGCGCCTGCGGCCGAGAGAGGCCGGGCCTGGGTGTCTGGGTCTGTTTGGTGCTGTTGTTTGTTTGAGTTGTTATACATGTATTTATTAGTAAAGGACTGTTATTCATTTTCCTATATATTTGTCTATAAGCCCCATATAATAGTTTATATAATGAGATTTATATTTATATAATGAGTTATAATAATTCAGAAGGAAGGGGGTCATATTTTCCCATTCCCAGGGTGGTTCTCACCTCCCATGGCAGACAGCTGTCTTTCAAACCAAGACAATGCTCCAGGACTTTGATAGCAAAAAGAAAGGCAGAAGTCAGCTTTTGAAGTAAAGAAATGCCAGCATATGTGGCTTGTGGTGGCTGTGAGCACAGGTGTTTCTCTGTGGCCACTTGAATGCAAAGGGGCTGTTTAACGGCCTGGGAGATCTCAGTGAGGAGCAGGGTGAGGTCTCACTGCTCTGGGAGGATTTGCCAGGCAGGGCAGGGGATGTGAGAGGCACCTGTGTGTGCCCAGGCCTGGGGTAGGCAGGGTTTAGGGCTTGTTCTCTTTTTCGTGCCAAGGGTGGAACTGACTGCAAACACCACATCAGGACATTCCCCAGCTTTCCTGCAAGACTCAAGCAACAAGGAAGAGAAAAAAAATTGACACACTTAAGGGAAGAGCAGATGAGCATATGCCAGTTACCAATGGGAAATAGTAGCATTGCTATTATAATCACTGATTAAAAATGAGAAATATACCTCTATACTTGGGAATAACCACAATGCAAACCAGATTAAATCATGCTATTTCCTTTTTGTGGCTTAGAGCTGCATCTAAGGGTAAAGAAAATGCTCTACAATTCTAGTCAATCAATATTAAAAATTATTAAAGTAAGAAAAAATCAAATTAAAAGCCAACTTCAGTCAACTATAACCAGATGTTTCCCACCTAGAAACTCAATGAAAAGCACATACAAATAAATAAAATCTCCAAGCAATGGCCAACTCAAATAATCAGTTCACCAGATTTCAAAAATGAAGGGGAAAATACTGCTGATCTAATTGGGACAAAACTCATATGACCATTATAAAAATGGAACTCACGTAAGAAATACTAAAAATTAAATAGCTGAGTAAATAAGCATCCTTAGGTCATTAATGCAAAGAGAGACAAAGAAAGACCCATCAGCTGAACCAAAATATCTTCTGAACAATTTCTAAACATGGGCAGATCTTCTTCTTTGGCATGCAAAGAGGCTTTAAGGACAGATGTGCTTGAAGGTCCAGAAGGGCTTAGCGAATACAGAATGAAAATAGATATAAAGTTTTTAAGCCTCAGTGACTTCTCTCCACATAAAAATCATTGTAATGTTTTAATGACATATATTAATTAACTACTCAATCTGCCAAAAAAAGCAAGGATGATAATGATATTTTTAGTTTAGGGAGTCCTCTGGAACAGTGTTAGATGTTCAGAAGTAGAGCAGCGTAGAGGGATAGAAAAATAAAAGGCAGCACTACAAAGACATGAAAGAGGAGACATCACCTGGCACTGAAAAGCCCACAAATGTTTTTGTAGAACTGCCTAGCACAGTGTGAACTACGTACCACAGTGACTGAAAACAACTGAACCACCACACACAAACTGTCTCCCTCCCTTCTCTTGAAGGAGGAAAACATGGTGGCTTTACTTCATCTATTTTTCCTCACACAACTGTGTGCACAAACACAAATTTGATTTACCAGAATTACTCAAATATCAGAAAATCTCTCCTATTTTTCCAAGACCAATTTCCTCACCGTTCAGCCTCAGACCCTGGCTATCACAGACAGGTCATTTTAGACATTTGATAACCAGCTCTAGTTGAACAAGTGTACAGGAACCTTCTGTACTTAGATATTTCTATTTAAGTTCATCATGGTGTTCTTCTCTTTGTCTCAGAGCACAGAGGAAGATTTTGGTAAGAACAAAGATCCTTTTAATTTCAGATCCAACAACAGCTGGGAGCAGATGCATGAAGAACAAGACTCTTCACTCTTTGATCTTCACTCCCAAGGTTTCAGTGCCCCTACACAACAAAGTACAATCATTTTAGCTACTTTGACCTCTTACCTAAAACACCATGAAGACTTTATAAGGTATTAAATGACCTCCAGGCACAGTTCTAAGAGACCAGAGGGCACATTCCTCCTGCTTCTGAGCACTGAAACAAAGGGGGAAAAGGGGACACCTTTCAGCAAGTCAGGAGAATTTTCAGAAATGCTTTGAAATAACAAAAAAGCACTGATAACTTTCCTGCTTTCTATCCAACTTAATTCCATCAGACTTTTCAGAGGTGTCATGTAATCCCCAAGTTCTCATATACAACTCAAGATTTCAGATACTCTTTTAGATCCTTTCTTGAAAGCAATATGGTATTTTTTCATGTGGTATGCTGGATCTCAAACCACATAAGAAGTCATGTGACTGCCTGTATAATCCAAAATTCTGTCTAGTGGAACAGAGAGAGTTTTTGCTATGAAACATATCACTGTGTTTTGGACTGGGTTACCACAATGATATAAAGAGCATAGGGACCTCTACCAAAACCCAGAGAAGGAAAAATGGTGAGATATTTTGGGAAAGAATGGAGAGGGATGACTGTAATGTATGAGAAGAGAACTAGAACTCCTTTAAATATTTCCTTTTATGCTGGATATATAAAAGAGCTCATGAAGGCTCTAAAAGGTGGAAGAAAAGGATAGGTAGGGAATTCTATACTCATTCAATCTAACTGAATTAATTGAACTAACCAAGTAATTTTTTTCCCTTTTCAGTTTACATAGTAAATGTACCACTGGATGCTCTCATGGACTTGCACTTATGGATAATTAGGCCAACTATCTAGTGATCCATCTCTTGATTTACAACAAATTTAAACACCATAAGGAAAGAGTGAGTTATTGGAATAAGCCTTAGCAGTGTGAAGACAGTAACTGGAACAGGGACGACTCTCATAGTTCGACCAAGTAAGTGACATTGCTTTATTCCTAAAACTTCACTGACAATTAATGTGGGGGAGAACAGGAGAATTTAAAGGGTTGGGTTCAATGAAAGGATTTTCAGCTGCAATAATCCCTTGAATGCACTCGCTCTCCAGCCAGGCTTTCAAGCCAAACCCTCAGCTTGGATTTGCTTAGGAAGGTTTCCAGGAACAACTGGGCTGACTCTGCATACAGCATTATTCCATGATCCCCAAACACCAGCAGGGCACTGCTTAGCCTGTGATAACTTATTCCCACTTTGGGCAGCACTCTGGCCCAAATTTACTGTCCAGTGTCCAATTCTCCAGCGGGCTTGCACTGACTGACTTGGGGCAGGAATGCAGAGCTCAGTGAAGAGCTCCCAGTATGAGGAGTTTTAGACACATCTGTAACTCCTGGTTGGAGAAGTTCTCCTTTGACACTGGCACCACACTGACAGTGTCCACTGCCCTGGAAACAGAGCAGGAAGGAGGTGAAATAGCCTTGGGCTTAAATTCTCACAAGTGCCTCATATCCAAGAGCTCCTGGAATGAAAGACAATTGGCTCCCAGGTTGTGTGGGTTCTGAAAAGAGCAATGTGGGGAGCAGGGATTATAAGAAGCCTTACTTATTCCTATCTTTGTTTGGAGTTCTGTAGTGAACAATAAAGGTGCAGGTCACCCCAAGCTTTTCTAGGGAAATGGGAATGTTGGGGTGGCAGAGGGGTTTTGATATTGATCTCTGTGGTCCTAAAGTATCAGGTGCATCCCTCAGGAATTGTTGCTTTGCTTTCAGAGGTCTCCATGTTTTCAAAGTACTTCAAGAACCTCCCATGTTACTTTACATCCCTAAAACCTCCCGCTCTCCTACCAGAAAGATGTGGGACTGCCTTGGGTGCTGCCTAATATCTGTCCATGTCTGTAGGATATGGTGCATGGGAATAAATGGGGATTTGGGAACAATCTCACTGCACTTCCAATTCCAAAGGGACAAAGGATGCAAATTTACCATTTTGGAGGAAGACCTCTTCTTTCTTTGCTGTTCAGTGATTTTCTTTTATAGCTAAAGAGAGGATATTTCAGAGCTGACCAGAGACTCTGGAATTATGTCTGACAGTAAAAGATCTTGGGCCCTTATGAATCAAAGTTCCTTTCAAGTCGGAGAAATAATAAATTGAAGCCAAAGTTTCCAGGTTGTAAGCACCTTCCCCCTTTTGGTTTTGAATTCCTTTGAGAGCTACTAAAATACATTTTGACAGGCATACATGAAGATATACATTATTATATTTTACCATAATTCTATATTATACATATTACATATGTTACATATATTAGATATTATATACTATATAATTTTTACATTATAATCGTGGTTATTAGTAGTTTTGAGAATACCCCTACATCAAAATGACAACCCTACAATAAATAGCAACCATTAGTGCCACTGTGGGACACTCCAGGCATATTCTGTTGAGGGCTCAGTTAAGGACAGAGAAGGTTTTCCTTTTGGGTCAGGCTGGATTATTCCACATTAAACATTCATTCAAAATGCTAAGGCCCATTACTTTCTGAAATAGAGGGCTCCTCCTGTGACTGTATAAGATGAAAGCAAACAAGAAGAACAAATTCTTCTCCAAATAAATTTTCAGAACATAAAACAAGAATCCCTTCCAGAAGAAAGCAGTGGTAGGAATTCATGGCTGTACTGCCAGGGAATGCAAACAAGGGGGACTTGGGTGAGCCTTCTGGGGTCAGATAAAACAAATCTTCTGCTCTCTGAACTGCAATTGCACTGTGTGCATTATTGCTTGCTGAAGATCCTGCCCAGGGAGCTACTGCAGAGAAGCTGCCTGTTTGTGTTCTGGCTCTTTGGAAAGCCTGGAGAGGAGACCACATGAAAAGCCTTTCAAGATCTTCTCAGAGAACACAGAATGCACAGGACTGACAGGCTCTGGCCAAGCCTGGTACAACAGCTGGGAAGGAAATGTTGGATTTCTGGTGGGTGTCTGGTTGCTGCAGGTGTGGACAAGTGTGTAGTTCTGCCTGTTTGATCACGAGAGCTGACCCATGAAGTTGTGGCAGAGCACGATTTGGCTTTCACCTCAGTTCCTCAGCAGTGGCATAGGGCTGATGGGGAAAGGGTGTAAAATCAGAGCCCCTTGATCAAACTTCCATCAGTACCCTGGGATGAACAAAATGTCAGAGCTGGGGGATCTCCTGACCCACCTGCAAGGCAGACACCATGCTAAATGAAAAGCCTCATGCACCTCTCCTTACCCAAGAGACCCCTCAGGATGCTCCTGTCAAAGCAGACAGGTCAATCTTTGTGGATGAGTCTGACAGCTTTTCATAAGCTGAGCCCTTTCTGGCAAGGAAGGCTGCTGGAGGATTCCTTTCAGTTCCATGGTTTTCCTCTAAGTCAAATTGCTAATCTGAGTTAAATCCTGACATTGGTTTTTGAGATCACCCTTGATTCTCCACCTGTGACCTGACCTAGAGGCAAAGATATTTTGTTTAAAATACAAATCATGGTACCACAATGATTGTGGGCAACTAAATTCTTTTGACACCAATAGTTTTCTTGTAAGACAGCTGGTTGGGAGTTTAAGAAATCTTCTTTTATTACTTGTACCTCTAATGATAAGGAATAATACATAAAAGACAGTAAATGGGATTGTTACAAATTAGTCACAGCTGAGTATATGAGAGTTTTAAGTCACTCAGCACTTGGGCAAGCCTGCAGTAAAATCAGTAATGCCCAAACCATGGCATTTGTTACATACAGTCCAAAAATTTCTATCCTAGAGGTCATTGTGGAGAAAACAACTAAACCACAAGATGTTAGCACCACTGTGAAAACAACACTTTTACCAACACCTTTACCAACGATTTTTAATACTTTGAAAATCACCTCTGAGGAACAGACCACATCTACTTCAGCAACAGTGGTGATCTGCACGGACAAGTTCGACAGCAGCATGGTAACAATACTGCCAGGTACAGTTTGGCAGCACAGGTACAACGTTTTTCTAGGGACAATGTCCTGTGGGGCCTGGTGTTCTTCTCCTGCTAGTCAGCATTGCCCTGGGCAGCCAGCAGAAATCAGAAAGATATTTGGTATTTCAACAGGGAGAGCTGAAAGATGTTCCAAACCATCTGAAAGCAATGGTTTCAACTATTTAGTAACTTTGGGGAAAAGAGGGCAGACACAATCTATTTGATTAAAACCATAATTTCCTTATGACTACACATTTACATGACCCTGTAGCAGCAAACTTGCTGCAGCACAACCTGGAACAGCCAATCCAACACCAACAAAAAGTTCAAAGTCTGGCATGTTTTGGGGTTTTTTACTAAATCCCATTTTGTACTTTGTGGGATTGTTTCTGATGTCCTGAAGGTCATTCAAGGTGCTGAAGGGGCTAGTAAGAGGGTTTGCAACAGCACAGAGCCCTCAGCACAAGGTGAGTTACCCAAACACGGTGTGAGGTTACATTGCTCTCTGCGGGATAAAGGCAGGGAAATGTATTTTCTCCAGGGCACAGGACTCAGAACACAACACATTCAGCACACACAAGCTGCTGTTCCAAGGTTGCTCCTGCAGTTACACACAAGCCCCAGGAAGCAAAAGGCAACAGAGACAGACCCTGGGCTCCCCTCTTGTTGCCATGTTCTCTCTCGGCTGTTCCTTTGCTGCTCTTCCTTTCCCTGAAACTCTCACCTGTGCATTTTCCCCTTTCTGCCAAGATCACAGCACCAAAACCTAGACCATGATGTCTCCCCTCTTTTCTGGTCACTGAGCAGACCCTGAAGAGCAGAGAGTGAACATGCTGTCCATGGCTGTGTTGGGGTTGAGAGTCCTGCTGGCAAAAGCCATCGCCTTCAATACCCTCATGAGTATCAAACTGTTTCTTTTCTGAGGTAAGGGAGCTCACAGCTTGGTGTCTGGAAAGCCTGGGAGCATATGCCAGGAGTGACTTCCTGTCCCTGTGTAGGTCCTTAGCCCCACAAGGAATCAGGCCGATTCATCTGCTCCTGAATCCATTTCACAGCCCTTGCAAGTATTCTGGCCAATGACCAAACCACACACAAGAAAACCAATTCCCCCCCTCCAAAAGCTATTAAGACAAGCCCACCCTGACTCCCAAAGGACAAAGGAAAAGGCATTTCTCTGTATTCAAAGCTCAGTTCTTAAGGCTGGTTCCCAAATTTTGTTTGCCTGAGAAACTCTGGTATTACCTGAACAGCCTAAGAAATATCTCATTGACTATATCAAGTGGCAGAGCACAAAGCCTGGAGAAAAATCCAGACAAATAAGCATTCAAAGGCAAGGATCCCAAAATAAAAACATGTGAGAGTAAAGAGAGGAAGGGGGAAGATTTGAAAATTAAAGCATCTGAAGAGGAACAAAAGATAATCCAGCCTAATTTTTGTGAGTGTATCTGTCCTCATCTGACGGCTATCAAGCACTGGTTCATAGGCCCAATTTCATTAAATGTACTTTAAACCTCCCTTTGCTCTTCCAGACATGGGCAATGAACCCAAAGAAGAGCAGCAAAGAGCGTGAACCAGCAGCACAAGGGGTTGAACAAGCAGGGCCAGAGCTGCTGACAGAGACCAGCCAGGACACAAGGCAGCACCTTCCCCTGCAGACATGCAACACTCTTCACTCCTGCCTGGCCAGCTGATTTACACTGAAGAGTTTTAAGTGCTTTTGCTCTTTCCTCTCCTCTGACAACTGAGCACAGTGGATTTATCCACATCCTCCTGGCTAAGGAGATCCCTCCCACTCTTCTGCCATTTGCACACCAGTGTCCAACCTGCTTCAGTAGCTTTGAAAACTCCAGTGCTCACTGCTGAGAGATGCCTTTGAGAAGCACCTTTCCCAGGCACGTTGTGTTACTGCCTGAGGAACTGGAGTAGCACTGCTGGGGGAATTCCAGCCCACGAGCTGCCTTTTGTAGCTTAGGATTTATATTGATTTAATAAGTGTGTATTGCAGATAAGAAGAGCTCTGTAGAATCTGAAGTGATTTCATTCAACTAGATAATCTTCATTTCTTGATTAAGCCTGCATTTCTTCTGCCAAATGTATTGCATGTGCATTTTAGGTTTCTGGAGTAGTCACAAAAATAAAGTTGTGCTAGCACAAAATACTGTGGGTTTTTTGTGCTTATTGTTCTGAAACCAGGATGGAAATTGCTGAAATCTAACTACCCTAGAAGCCCACTGGGATCAGAAACACAGCTTTGATATTGCAGATTTCCTGTTGGCTGAATTTGTCTTTTGCAGACTTGGTGCAGGGAAATGTCTCTGGCACATTCAGGAGCCTCAGTCAGGAGAGTCCTTGCTGAAGGCACGAGGGAGGAAAATGCTCCTGTCAGCAGGGAAGGAACCCTGCTGCTGTTTTGCACTCAGGGACAGGAGGCAGGGGCCACCAGAAAATAATCTGGGCTGGTTTGATGGAGTGATAGTTTCCATAGCAACTTGGCTCTTACCTAACAGAGCCCAGCCCACACCTTCCCCAGCTCATGCCCCTCTCACCAGCTACAGGCAGGATGCTGTGGTCACCATTTCTGACTCAGTCACACCAGGCAGCACCAACCCTCCCCTGCTTTTGAAAACACAAGGTAACCACATCCTGAAGGGGAAATAAGGCTTTGCTGCCCCTGCCTGAGCTCCTGCAGCCCTCAAGAGAGCCTCTGCACGGCACACAGCAAGGGCTGCTGCACTGAGCTTGCTCTGCTCACACCCTCAGGCCCTGCAGACACCCAGACAAGAGCCCCAGCCCCTGCAGAAGCTCTGTGAAATTTGCATGGCAAATCCAAATCCACTGAAATGCACGTTTAGTGCACTCTACCACCACACCATCAATCAGGGGGAGATGTTCACCAACATTTCTATACTGATTTTCCAATGACACCCAGAACCTTTTTCTCAAGCACTCCACACCTTTTCCCAATCTCTCAGCCAGATTTCTATGTTCAGAATATTCCCTCAGGCAAAACCAGTGCAATCAGATGCACAGGAGGGAAAGGTTAATGACTAAGAGCTGGTACATCCCCTTAGTATAAATTCTTGATGAAGTCTGGGACTAGGATTGGATCCATCCACACCTCCTCTAGAAGCAGTTTAGAAAGCAGGGGAGTCCTCTGTGCACCTCATGACTCAATGGGAGGGAGTTCCTTTTACAGCTCTGCCCCTTTCTTGCCCCCAGTCTCCACATCAATCTTTACATTAAATTAATTCCAATTTGATGTTCCTGTCCCTGATTCATCCATGCAGTAAAGCTGCAGAGTGGGCATTGCTGTTGGACAGTGCCACACTGGCAAATCTGTGTTAAACCTGCTTTTGCTGACACCTCTGGCAGTGGGGGTTTCATTGACCTCAAGCCCTCAGCTCATCACAGGGTCCCAGATTGTCCCCACCAAGCAGTGGCTTTTCACTTTGCATTGGCAATGCAGAACATGCAGCTTAAGAAAACAGGAGAATAGAAGTGTTTCCTGAAGAAATCTCACAACTTGGAACTATAGTGCAGTCCAACAATAAGATTGACTTAGTGCAGTTAATTCCACAGAGGGGGACACAATCTGCCACCTGATACAAGGTGAGGAAAGTTCTGGAGGGAAACTGTGCTCCACATTAAAATACCCTCTGTTAAAGCAGCACATTTGCATATGGCATTGTCCCAACATCTGAAAAAACAATAGTGTCCTGTAAAGGATCCCATGATACCAAAAGAATGGAGGATGATTATAAGCAGCACTCTTTGGTACAATACACTTTTACAGTATTAGCCTATTCTCCTACATGCTTCCATGTTTGATTGTGCTCATAGAGCCTTTGCAAATCTCCAGGGGTTGAGCCACTGGCCCTGGAGACATTCAAAAGCCACCTGGACGTGGTCCTTGGCAAACAGCTCCAGACAGTCCTGCTAGAGCAGGGGACACCCAGTCCCCTCCAGAGCTCCCTTCCAGCCCCCATCCTTCTGCATTTATGAGATACCTTTCTCATACTGGGGGCAATGAGAAGAAGTTCAAAATATCTTTATATACATTTAATCAGGGGTTTTGTTCACCTTTGCCCAGGGGGAAAGGAACTGAAGTTTCTTTTCACAGGACTGTTCCAGCACACCAAGCCTGATGAGCTTCACATCTCAGCAGACTGGGAGCAGCACAGAAAATACACAAAAGATAACGACCATTAATGAACATCAGCTCCAAACATCAGCCCTGGCAAGGTCAGAGACACCTGGTCTGGGAAAAGGTTGATGAGAGAACCAAGACTGACAACCAAAATAACATCCAAGGTGAAAGGATCAATAAAAAACAAATACTACAGACTGTGGAACTTGGGAGCAATGAACATTGAACCAATGAATTTCCCTGGGTTTTGACTGTAGAAGTACAAGAAAACTCCAATGAAAACCTTGTGTGATGGAAGGATTTTCTCTGCAGAACCTGTGCAATGTGTGGATGAAATTATTTCTGTTACACATCTTGGTCAGAATAAAGTTGATTCTCTAACACTAAAAAATGCTGTGGGAGAGTTTTTGATTTTCCTGCAGTTTCAGTGACAAGACCAACCAACTTCGATAAAACTTTCAATTTGAGGATAATTTTCACCTCAAGCACATTTTCCTCCTCCTTGGTGAGTCTCACACACCAAGTGTGGTATCTGACATCTGCCCTGCTCAGCAATTCAAAGTGGTGAGAGCTCTCTCCAGTGGCAGAGGATATTAAAAGCATCTTGAAAGAATAAAACTCTCTTCAAGAGGTTACATGGGAAAGCATAGTGAAGAACACCATGAGAATGGGCAACACTAAACACCTTTTTGTACCACTGAACCCTTCAGTTTTCTTACACCACATTAAAAATACATTGGAATAATTCTATTCCTGCAACTGCTGGTCATAATCTGACCTGTTTTGTGTCCCAAAATCCTATAAACTTCCTGACAAAATTAGATCAAATGTAAACAGAAACTCCTTGGGAGTATGGTTAATTACCTGACTATAAGGCAAGTTCTCTTTCTCTTTTTCCCTTATATTTCAGTCAGCAGATGTTGTCGGAACTGAAGTAGTAAGAGCCCGATCTTCCCCCAGCAAATCTATTCAGGACTGGGGAGTACAGAGCTCTGGGCAATGTCTGTCTTTCTAAAGCACAACCTTGAAAATAGATGTCAATTCTAGGATTTCTGTAGGGAGGGCCACGGTTGATCCCTGCCTATGCCAAAGCCTCCCACAACCAGGGAAATTCCTCTTTTGTGACCTCTACTGAAACATAACCTGCAAGGAGACAGAGAAGAGATACCCCAGCCTGGATTATATGGACACCTCTAAGAGGCACTGTGCAAATACAGTTTTATTTTGATGACAAATAGAGTCTCTGGCCATGGGCTTCCACCTGCCTGGGAGCACTACTAGATCATCCTTGGGACAGTATCTTTCTCTAACACTTGACAGGAGCCACCTCCAGAGGCTGAGAGTTGCTGTCCTCTCCCCAGTCCCCTTCTCAGTGCCCACAGCCCTGCACAATATCAGCATGGGGAGCTCATAGGGGAACACACACAGGGTTAGGTCCCACAGCCACAGGAACAGCCCCAGCAGCATTGGCACCACTGGCTCCAGACCTGATACAACTAATGCTGAGATCAGATTGGTCTGCAGCCCACTCTGGGCAGATCTGGTCTTATCTCAACCCTTCATGCCCCACACTGGATGCCAAAGGAGGCTGTTGTGGTTTAGGACTGGAATTTCCCAATCTAGAGTTCCCACTGACTCACTCCAAATCAAGCCTGAGGCTCTTCCACAGGATCACACAAAGTGTGAATATGGAGAGGGCTTAAGAGAAAGATGGGGACCACGCAGGGTGAGAGACAGGCAGGAGGGCAGCAAGAGCTTCAAGTTGTGCTCCTGGTGCTCCACCTCTCCCCCTCAGTGTTGTCATAGGCAGAGGGAGGGACCAGCAGGGCCTGGGCCTGAGAGCAGTGACAGAGGCCCAGGCAGGGCAGGTGTGGGCAGAGCTGTTGTGCAGGCCCCGAGAAGCTGCAGAGAGGCCACTGAGAGCGGGCCTGGCCATGTGGAGTGCCCTGTGCCTGGGCTTCTTGCCCATTGTAGGTAAGTGAAGGCAAGGGCTGCTGGCCCCAGGAGCTGAGCGTGGCCCTGGGCTCTGCAGGGCTCTGGGCAGCTGTGCTGAGCGCTTGCAGCCGCAGCTGTGCCCCGGCTCCAGCTGCCCAGCCCTGCCTGTGGAGCACGGCGAGAGCAGCCCTGCTCCTCTTGTGCCTCTGAGCTCGGCACCTCCATGCCAGCTGCCTCCTCTGCAGCCTGGCCACACGCAGGGCACCTCCCTGCTGCACTCACATCTCAGGGCCCAGCGCTTTGCCCTGGCACTGGACACTGCTCCTGGGCCACTGCCGCCCCTCTGGCACAGACCAGCTGGGCCATGGCAGCACAGGGCACAGGCCCCACTGCCTGGGACAGCCCTTGGTCTTTGCTCTGCTCACCCACAGCAGCTTCAGCGACAGGACAGTGGGCTCCTCACCATCCTGTCTTGCCAAGGACAAAGGAATTTTTTGTCCCCCCATGGTGCAAATCCTTCCTGCTTCTTTGGGGAAAATCAGAAAAAGATTCCTGTGTGACTGGGGCAAGGATGGAGGGAAATGAGGTGTCTCCTTCCTTGTGAGCCTTGCTAGCTGCCACCAGCTCTGCCCATCTGTGTCAACTGGCCTCAAAGAGGAGGATTTTGTCCTAGAACTGGTCCAGTGCCAGTGCAAAGCCCCACCAGCATTTCCCTGACCTTTGCTGCATCTTGGAGTGACTGTGGCTCGTTCTTGCTCTCTGCAGCAGTCACTGGCCAGGTGACCTTTGAGCAGTACCCCAGGGAAGTGACCCTGCGAGAGGGAGATGAAGTCACCTTCCACTGCAGCATGAAGGGAGGTGATATGAGCAAGTATTTCATGTACTGGTACCGTCAGGGCCCACGGGGCTCTCTGGAATGGATTTATGAAGATTATGGAGTAACCTATGGAGAAGGTTTCAAAGATCGCTTTAAAGGAAAACTGCAGTGGTCCAAGAACAGCTTCACTCTGCAGCTCCTGGCAGCAACCCCAGGCGATGCAGCAACGTATTACTGTGCAGCAGAACCACCCTGGAGCAGCTGTGCAGCAGAGTGAACCAAAAACCAGCAGATGGGGATGACAGATCTCTCAGCATTTCTTTCTGGCAGCTGCTGCCCAGGGCTCTTGTCAGGCAATGGCAGGTGCAGGAAACGTCCCTCTGGCCTGGGGGCACTAGAAGGCACTGGAGGGAGGCTGCCAGAAGGGCTGGCACCATTGATGGTGCAGGAGGATCTGTCCTGGCAACTGCAGAGGCTGCAGTTTGGGGAAGTGCAGGTTTAGTGCACATTGCCTGGGCTCCTGTCCAGCACAGCCTCATTTCTCCTCTGTGCCTTGCCTTGGCTCCCAGCCCTTTTTCTTTAGGGACAGTCTGCATGGCTTTGGGAACAGGGATTTGGCTTAGCCACATTGACAGCCTTCAACAGGGAGACAAAGGGTCTTGCTGGGTGAGGAGAGAGTGGATGTTGTGCATTCTTCATTCAGTTGAGCTCCCAGCACTGACTTCCCTGCAAACCTACTGGACAAATCCTTTCATTATGGCCATGGTTCAGTGACATGGATTGTGCAAGGGTACATATTCCTCCTCCCAGCCTCTCCTCCTGGGCTGTGGGAAATGAAATTCCTGAAGGCTGATCTGGCTGCTGAAGCCTGAGGTGAAGAAAGCATTCAGGACCTCAGCCCTGTCCCATATCCTGTGTCACCTGGTCCCCATCCCATTCAGCACTGGGCCCACGTTTTCCCAGCCTCGTTTGTCCGTGCAGCCTCCTGGCATGTTGTCCTGACTCCTTGCTCCCTGGGGAGGAATCTTCTTCAGCTCAGCACTGCTGGGACTGGGGACCAATGTGTGCCCTGCTGGGCTCCCAAGCCTGGGAAGGACATGGACAGAGGGGAACAAATGCAATGGAGGGCCATGAACACAAGGAAGGGAACAGCTGACATATAAGGAGAGCCTGGGAGATCTGGGTGCATTTTGTACAGACGAGAAATTGCTGGCAGGGAAATTTGTCACACAAATCCCTTGCAGTCCTCCAACACGGGCCTTTGGTTTGTTCAAGGGAGAAAGAAAGAGCTTTTATTCATCTTTTCCCAATTGAATTTCCTCCCATCTACTCTGCCAGGATTGCAGCCCTCATCAACAAGCTGTGACCAGCAATGGACTTGTCCAGCTCCAGGAAGCAGCCAATAGACTGGTGAAATGAGAATGCTTGTTCTTCCCCTTCTTTCCAAAGCCATCTGCTTCACCAAATTATTGAAAAGTAACTTTTCTTGGTAACATTGCTCTGAGCATTCTGCTGTGGCAAGGAACTTACGGGCAACAAAATGGGAAAAATTCCCTGAGAGAAAGAAGAGGAAAAATCCTACATCCACCAACTGTTAAAGTTCAAAACATCCCTGATTATTTCAGGAGGAGATGGAAAATGCTGCACAATTGCAGGCTACCACTAATGGTATGATTAAGATAACAATCAAATTAAAAGCCAACTTCAGTCAATGATAACAACAACAAATAGAGTCAATTAGAGCACCATCAGCTGAACCAAAATAAATCCTGAACAATTCTTAAACATGGACTGATTTTTCCTCTGGCATGCAAATAGGCTTTGAGGAGAGTCATGCTTGAAGGTCTAGAAAACTTAGTAAATCTAGAATGAAAATAACTTGAAAAGTTATAAGCTTGAGAGATGCTTCCCAGAAAACCTTTCAAGTGTTTAACCCTAACTTGTTGTGTGTTAAAAGACAAATCAGTAACCAGATCCTTTCTCTGAGGCACTTCTAACAACAATATTCCATTCCAAAGTGTGAGAACAATATTCTAGTTAGATATACAATACTGTCCACTCTGCTAAAAAAAGCAAGGATGGTAATGTTATTTTTAGTTTAGGGAATCCTCTGGAACAGTGTTAGATGTTCAGAAGTAGAGCAGCGTAGAGGGACAGGAAAACAAAAGGCAGCACTACAAAGACATGAAAGAGGAGACATCACCTGGCACTGAAACCCCCCCCAGATGTTTTTGTAGAACTGCCTAGCACAGTGTGAACTACGTACCACAGTGACTGAAAACAACTGAACCACCACACACAAACTGTCTCCCTCCCTTCTCTTGAAGGAGGAAAACATGGTGGCCTTACCTCATCTATTTTTCCTTAGACAACTGTGTGCACATACACAAATTGGATTTACCAGAATTACTGAAACAGCACAACACCCCACCTAATTGTCCAAGACCAATTTCCTCACCATTCAACCTGAGATCTTGGCTCTTGCAAACAGGTCATTTTCAACAGTTGATCATCATGGCCAATTGAACAACTCAGCAGGAACCTTCTCTATTAACCACTTATGAGTTGATTTAGGAGCCCTTTGTTCATCATTTTGGACATCTGACACAAAGCTTGACTTACTGCTTTGTCAAGAGAAACTATTCTTGAGGTTCAAAAAGCTAATCTCTGAACGTGAGCAGCTCTCCTAGACCCCTCCTCTGTCCAGGACCATAACCCATGGGATTCCTCCCAGAAGATCCCAGATGCTGCTCTCCTGAAGCCCAGGGCTCCAGTCCTGTTTTTGCATTGCTCTCTTCTCCCAGGATCCTGAGCTCAAACAGTGCATGGTGACTGCAGCCAAGGCTGCCCCAACCACCAATTCTGCCTCAGTGGCACACACAGGTCCAGCTCACAGCCATTTGTGTTAGTAAGCTCACATCAGTACCTGCCAGAAAACTCCTGACTGCGTGTGCTCAGCTGTGCTCTCCTGCCAGCAGACACCTGACACGCTTCAAGCACCCCATGAGGACCAGAGCCCAGGGATGTCCCATTTGTCCCACAAAAGCCTTACCTATATCTTCCCAATCCTCTCATGTTTTCTACCCATATTTCTGTCTTGGGAATGGCTTAAATTCCCTACCCATTCATGGGCTTGTCTTTGTTTTGTGTTCAGAATGGTCATTGACTGCCCAGGCTCAGGAAGTATCTCGATGGGCGAGGAGCAGCAGGGATCCCCTGAGAGTTGGGGGCCAGGGGCTGCTGCTTCCTTCCAGAGGGGCTGCTCAACTCAGGAGCCACACGGCGAGGGTGTCTGACTGGTGACACTGTTGCCCTGTGCTTTTTGCCTGTTTTTCCTTCTTTCTTTTCCTTTGGCACTGTGAGTAGGGATTGCCAGCTTGATTCTCTGCTTCCCTGTCACTTGCAAGCCTAGAACCAGTGTGTGCTACACCAGGAGCAGGGAGGCAGGAGCACAATGCTGATCCCAGCACCAGCCATTGCCAGGGAGCTGTCCAAAGGAGCAATCCCCCACCCAAGCCTGCTGTTGTCTGCCACTGCTTCAGGGATTTTTGCGACACTATAACTTGACACCCCTTGTCTGCCCAGACACCCGTGGCTCCTGCTGCAGCTTCAGAATTTCCCCTACACTTGGTTTACCACTGTGAGTGTTCTCACCTCTGCCGTTGCAGCCTGCTGCTGCAAGGTTCCTGCTGCAGCTGGTTTCAGTATCCAGAGGGGCACCGGGACTGGCTGCTCCTGTGGGATTGTAAAGGGAGCCCCTTCTCCATCTCTCCTGCCTGCCCACCCACCAGTACCCACATGCAGAGAGGTGGCCGAGCTCGCGCCACAGCGCCCCCTGCTGGCGCCGGGGAATCACCGCACCCGCCCTGCCCGGCCGGGAGCCAGCAGCGCCCCTGCTGGCTGTGCCCGGAACTGCACCGAAGGGAAAAGCGCCTGCGGCCGAGAGAGGCCGGGCCTGGGTGTCTGGGTCTGTTTGGTGCTACTGCTGTTGTTTGTTTGAGTTTTTATACATACACATACTGGTAAAGAACTGTTATTCCCTTTCCTCTGTGTGTGCCAGAAAGTCACTTTATTTCAAAGTTGTATTAAGTTGGAGGGAATATTCTCCACTCCATGGGTGGTTCCTGCCTTCCTTGGCAGGCACTTGTCTTTCAAACTAGGACAGCCACCATCACTTAAGTTAGGCACGACAGTCAGCAGATGGAACAGCCGCAGACACACTCAGAGTACAATTATTTCCAGACCTTGCTAACCTGGGGGAATCCCTGAGCAACAGCCAGCCAGAGGCAAGGAGAGACACTGACATCTAAGCTGCATCCATGCTAGAGGATCTCTGGATGCATTCACTCTGGGCTGCCAAGGGTAATTCCCAGCTGGAAGGTCACTTCAGCAATTTACAACGCTCCTGTGTCTTCTGTTTTTAATCCAATCCTCCCAACACCCCCAGAGACAGCCTGCTACATCCCAGAACTCTGTTCACACTACCACTAGTACCTACAAGAAGAGAAGTACGGGGATTAGACTGCATTGCAAGAAATGCTCTGAAATAACACCAGAGGTACTGATTATTTTTCTGCTTTCTATCCAGCTAAACTCCATCAGACCTTTCACAGGTGTCACATCATACCCAAGTTCTCATTTACAACTCAACCCCTATGATATTATTGGAGATCCTTCCTTGAAAGCCATGTGGTGCTTCTTCATGTGGTGCGTTGGATCTCAAACCACTGAAGAGGTCATGTGACTGCCTGAATAATCCAATATTCTGCGTAGTGGAACAGAGACAGTTTGTGTTATGAAATATATCACTGTGTTTCGGACTGGAGTACCACAATGATATGAACAGCATAGGGACCTGTACAAAAACAGAAAGAGGGAAAGAAGGCAAGAAATTGTTGGGAGAGAAAGGAGATGGGTGACTCTAAGGATTAAGAAGAGAAGAACAACATTCTTCCTATATTTCCTTGTATCCTAGATACATAAAAGAGCTCATGAAGGTTCTAAAAGGTGGAAGAAAGGGAGAAGTTGAAAATTCGATACTCAATCAAGCTATTTGAAACAATTCAATTAACCTTTTCTCCCTTTCCGGTTTTGGAAGTACATCTACCTCTGGATCCTCTCATGGACTTGCACCCATGGATAATTAGGACTAATGGATTTTCATCACCTGTTTTTGGAACACTTTTGAACTCCATGAGGAAAGAGTGAGTTATTGGAATACGTCTTAGCAGTGTGAAGAGAGATAAGCTTATATTTGGACCAGGGACGATTCTCACAGTTGAACCAAGTAAGTGACATTTCTTTCTTCCTAAAACTTCACTGACAATTAATGTAGGGGAGAACAAGGGAATTTAAAGGGTTGGGTTCAATGAAAGGATTTTCAGCTGCAATAATCCCTTGAATGCACTCACTCCCCAGCCAGGCTTTCAAGCCAAACCCTCAGCTTGGATCTGCTCAGGAAGCTTTCCAGGAACAACTGGGCTGACTCCGCATACAGCATTATTCCATGATCCCCAAACACCAGCAGGGCACTGCTTAGCCTGTGATAACTTATTCCCACTTTGGGCAGCACTCTGGCCCAAATTTACTGTCCAGTGTCCAATTCTCCAGCGGGCTTGCACTGACTGACTTGGGGCAGGAATGCAGAGCTCAGTGAAGAGCTCCCAGTATGAGGAGTTTGAGACACATCTGTAACTCCTGGCTGGAGAAGTTCTCCTTTGACACTGGCACCACACTGGCAGTGTCCACTGCCCTGGAAACAGAGCAGGAAGGAGGGGAAATAGCCTTGGGCTTAAATTCTCACAAGTGCCTCATATCCAAGAGCCTGGAATGAAAGAAAATTGGCTCCCAGGTTGTGTGGGTTCTGCAAAGAGCAATGTAGGGAGCAGGGATTATAAGAAGCCTTACTTATTCCTATCCTATCTTTGTTTGGAATTCTGTGATTAACAATAAAGTTGCAGGTCACCCCAAGCTTTTCGAGGGAAATGGGAATGCTGGGGTGGCACAGGGGTTTTTGATATTGATCTCTGTGGTCCTAAAGTATCAGGTGCATCCCTCAGGAATTGTTGCTTTGCTTTCAGAGGACTGCATGACTTTAAAGTGCAGCAAGAATATCCCACGTTATTTGACATCCCTAAAACCTCTTGCTCTCCTTCAGAAAGATGTGCGACTGCCTTGGATGCTGCCTAATATCTGTCCATGTCTGTAGGATATGTTACATGGGAATAAATGTGGATTTGGGAACAATCTCACTGCACTTCCAATCCCAAAGGGACAAAGGAATGTAAATTCACCATTCTGCAGAAAGACCTCTACTTTCCTTGCTGTTCAATGGCTTTCATTTTCTAGCTAATGCCAGGATATTTTCAGAGTATCCTGTACAGAAAGTCTGGAATTACGTTTGGTAGTAAAATACATTGAACCTGAAGTATCAAAGTCCCTTTTGAGTCTGCTGAAAAACTTAATGTTAAGAAGCCAAAGTTTCCAGGATGTGAGCAACCTCTCCCTTTTGTTCAAATCAATTGAACATAAACAGAAAAGATTAATCCCTTCCAGAAGCAAGCAGTGGTAGGAATTCATGGCTGTACTGCCAGGGAATGCAAACAAGTGGGACTCAGGTGAGCCTTCTGGGGTCAGATAAAACAAATCTTCTGCTCTCTGAACTACAATTGCACTGTGTGCATTATTGCTTGCTGAAGATCCTGCCCAGGGAGCTACTGCAGAGAAGCTGCCTGTTTGTGTTCTGGCTCTTTGGAAAGCCTGGAGAGGGGACCACATGAAAAGCCTTTCAAGGTCTTCTCAGAGAACACAGAATGCACAGGACTGACAGGCTCTGGCCAAGCCTGGTACAACAGCTGGGAAGGAAATGTTGGATTTCTGGTGGGTGTCTGGTTGCTGCAGGTGTGGACAAGTGTGTAGCTCTGCCTGTTTGATCACGAGAGCTGACCCATGAAGTTGTGGCAGAGCACGATTTGGCTTTCACCTCAGTTCCTCAGCAGTGGCATAGGGCTGATGGGGAAAGGGTGTAAAATCAGAGCTCCTTGATCAAACTTCCATCAGTACCCTGGGATGAACAAAATGTCAGAGCTGGGGGATCTCCTGACCCACCTGCAGGCAGACACCATGCTAAATGAAAAGCCTCATGCACCTCTCTTTACCCAAGGGACCCTTCAGGATGCTCCTGTCAAAGCAGACAGGTCAATCTTTGTGGATGAGTCTGACAGCTTTTCATAAGCTGAGCCCTTTCTGGCAAGGAAGGCTGCTGGAGGATTCCTTTCAGTTCCATGGTTTTCCTCTAAGGCAAATTGCTAATCTGAGTTAAATCCTGACATTGGTTTTTGAGATCACCCTTGATTCTCCAAATGTGATCTGACCTAGAGGGAAGGGTATGTTCTCTTATAAACAAATTATGGTACCACAATGATTTGTTGGCAACTAAATTCTTTTGACACCAATAGTTTTTGTGTAAAATAGCTGGGTGGCAAGTTTAAGCAATCTTCTTTTGTTACTTGTACCTCTAATGCCAAGGAATAATGACATCAAAGACAGTAAATGAGAATGTTACAAATTAGTCACAGATGGAGTACATGTGAATTTTGGGTCACTCAGCACCCGGGCAAGCCTGCAGTAAAATCAATCCTGTCCAAACCTTGCTTTTCTTTTCAGGCATTTCAAAAACTTCTGATCCCGAAGTCATTGTGATGAAATCAAAGAAACTGGAAGGAGGTGGCAGCTCTGGGAAAGCAGCTTGTTTGGCAAAGAACTTCGCTACAAAGAACATCAGCTTGGAGATGCCCTCTCAGGAGGTGGTCTATGAACAGAGCCCATCCATTCTGACATCACAGGGGTTGTACAATGCAATTAAAGTGGTCAGGGTGACAAAAGACACAGAGGTGACCTGCACGGCCAAATTCGGCAACCGCACCATAACAGCAAAGCCAGGTACAGTTTGGTGGCACAGCTGTCACTTATTTCTGGAGACAGTGGCCTGTGGGGCTTGGTGTTCTCCTTCTGGACAGCACTGCCCTGGGCAGCCAGCAGAAATAAGAAAGATTTTTGGGATTTCAGCAGGGAAAAATAAAAGATGTTTCAAAGCATCTGAAAGAAATGGTTTCAACAGTTTAATTACTTTGAGATACTTTTCTGGGGAGAAAAGACACAATCTATTGCTTCAAAATGTGAATTTCCTTATGACTGAATACTTTAGCCTAGAGCAGGAAACTGCCTGCAGTACAAGTTGGAACAGCCCTTTCAATACGAACACAAAGTTAAAGGTGGGGTGTGTTGTGAGGGTTTTTTAATTGAATGAATTGTTGTATTTGGCGTGTTTACTCTTTTAGTCCTGAAGGTCATTCAAAGAGTAAAACGACACAATGCAGGAATTCTTCTGTTTCTTGCAACTGCATGGAGAAATTGTCTGCTCAAATTAATGTTGGAATTATTCCTGACCAGCTGCGGCCCACTCTGATCTTTCCTCCGATGTTCTATGAGAAATGTCATCTAAACATTTTCTTTTTATCCTCTATAAAAGGTAGATATAGTCTAAAATGCCTTTTCTTTATCGTGCTACAGAAGCCGAGGCTGAAGAACCAATAACAGGGTTTGGGGAACCAAACAGAACCAGAACAGAGTCAGGGGCCACTGACAGAGTTTGCAACAGCACAGAGCCCTCAGCACAAGGTGAGTTACCCAAACACGATCTGAGGTTACATTGCTCTCTGCGGGATAAAGGCATGGAAATGTATTTTCTCCAGGGCAGAGGACTCAGAGCACAACACATTAAGCACACACAAGCTGCTGTTCCAAGGTTGCTCCTGCACTTACACACAAGCCCCAGGAAGCAAAAAGCAACAGAGACAGACCCTGGGCTCCCCTCTTGTTGCCATGTTCTCTCTCGGCTATTCCTTTGCTGCTCTTCCTTTCCCTGAAACTCTCACCTGTGGATTTTCAACTTTCTGCCAAGATCACAGCACCAAAACCTAGACCATGATGTCTCCCCTCTTTTCTGGTCACTGAGCAGATGCTGGAGGGCAGAGAGTGAGCATGCTGACCATGGCTGTGTTGGGGTTGAGAGTCCTGCTGGCAAAGAGCATCGCCTTCAATGCCCTCATGAGCATCAAGTTGTTTCTTTTCTGAGGTAAGGGAGCTCACAGTTATCAAGCACTGGTTCATAGGCCCAATTTCATTAAATGTACTTTAAACCTCCCTTTGCTCTTCCAGACATGGGCAATGAACCCAAAGAAGAGCAGCAAAGAGCGTGAACCAGCAGCACAAGGGGTTGAACAAGCAGGGCCAGAGCTGCTGACAGAGACCAGTCAGGACACAAGGCAGCACCTTCCCCTGCAGACATGCAACACTCTTCACTCCTGCCTGGCCAGCTGATTTACACTGAAGAGTTTTAAGTGCTTTTGCTCTTTCCTCTCCTCTGACAACTGAGCACAGTGGATTTATCCTCATCCTCCTGCTAAGGAGATTTTGCTCCACTCTTCTGGCATTTGCACACCAGTGTCCAACCTGCTTCAGTAGCTTTGAAAACTCCAGTGCTCACTGCTGAGAGATGCCTTTGAGAAGCACCTTTCCCAGGCACGTTGTGTTACTGCCTGAGGAACTGGAGTGGCACTGCTGGGGGAATTCCAGCCCAGAAGCTGCCTTTTGTAGCTTAGGGTTTAGAATGATTTACTAAGTGTGTATTGCAGATAAGAAGAGCTCTGTAGAATCTGATTTTATTCAACTAGATAATGCTCACTTCTTGATTAAGCCTGTATTTCTTCTGCCAAATGTATTGCATGGGCATTTTAGGTTTCTGCAGTAGGGACAAAAATAAAGTTCTGCTAGCCCAAAATCTTGTTGGTTTTTTGTGCTTATTCTTCTGAAATTTGGATGGAAATTGCTGAAATCCAACTACCCTAGAAGCCCAGTGGGATCAGAAACACAGCTTTGATATTGCAGATTTCCTGTTGGCTGAATTTGTCTTTTGCAGACTTGGTGCAGGGAAATGTCTCTGGCACATTCAGGAGCCTCAGTCAGGAGAGTCCTTGCTGAAGGCACGAGGGAGGAAAATGCTCCTGTCAGCAGGGAAGAAACCCTGCTGCTGTTTTGCACTCAGGGACAGGAGGCAGGGGCCACCAGAAAATAATCTGGGCTGCTTTGATGGAGTGATAGTTTCCATAGCAACTTGGCTCTTACCTAACAGAGCCCAGCCCACACCTTCCCCAGCTCATGCCCCTCTCACCAGCTACAGGCAGGATGCTGTGGTCACCATTTCTGACTCAGTCACACCAGGCAGCACCAACCCTCCCCTGCTTTTGAAAACACAAGGTAACCACATCCTGAAGGGGAAATAAGGCTTTGCTGCCCCTGCCTGAGTTCCTGCAGCCCTCAAGAGAGCCTCTGCACGGCACACAGCAAGGGCTGCTGCACTGAGCTTGCTCTGCTCACACCCTCAGGCCCTGCAGTGCTGAAACAGTCCTTTGAAAAGAAACTTCAGTTCCTTCTCCCCTGGGCAAAGGTGAACAAATGCCCTGACTAAAACTATATCAAGAAATTTCAGCAGACATATAAAACATCCCAGCAGACTGGGAGCCACACAGAAGATACACAAAAAATAACGACCATTAATGAACATCAGTTCCAAACATCAGCCCTGGAAAGTTAAGAGACACCTGGTCTGGGAAAAGGTTGATGAGAGAACCAAGACTGAGAACCAAAATAACATCCAAGGTGCAGGGATCAATAAAAAATCAAACACTACAAACTGTGGAACTTAGGAGCAATGAGCATTGAACCAATGAATTTCCCTGGGTTGCAAATGTAGAAGTAGAAGAAAACTTCAATGAAAACCTTGTGTGATGGAAGGATTTTCTCTGCACAACGCGTGCAATGTGTGGATGAAATGGTTTTGGTTGCACCTCCTAGCCAGAATAAAGGAATGCCTTGATTCTCTAACATGCAGTGTGGTAGTTGACATCTGTCCTGCTGATCAAGTCAAAATGGTGAGAGCTCTCTCCAGTGGCAGAGAATATTAAAAGCATCCTGAAAGAATAAAGCTTTCTCCAAGAGATCACACGGGAAAACATAGTGAAGAACACCATGAGAATGGGCAACACTAAACACCTTTTTGTACCACTGAACCCTCCAGTGCTCTTATACCACATTAAAAATGCAATGTAATAATCATATTCCTGCACCTGCTAGGCAAAATCTGACCGATCTCTGTTGTGACCCAAAATCCCATAAACTTGCTGACAAAATTAGATCTAACATAAACAGAAACTCAAAAGGAGCAGGGTTAATTACCTGACTGTAAGGCAAGTTCTCTCTTTGACTTATATTTCAGTCAGCAGATGTTGTCTGAACTGAAGTAATTAGAACCCAATCATCCCCCTGCAAATCTATTCAGGACTGGGGAGTGCAGAGCTCCAGGCAATGTCTGTCTCCCTAAAGCACAATTTGAAAAGAGATCTCAAATCTAGGATTTCTGTAGGGAGGGCCTTAGTTATGCCTGGCTATGCCAAAGCCTTTGACAACCAGGGAAATTCCTCTTTTGTGACCTGTACTGAAATATAACCTGCAAGGAGACAGAGAAGAGACACCCCAGCCCTCATAAAGTGGACACCTCTAAGAGGCACTGTGCACACACAGTTTGATTTTGATGACAAATAGAATCTCTGGCCATGGGCTTCCACCTGCCTGGGAGCACTACTAGATCATCCTTGGGACAGTATCTTTCTCTAACACTTGACAGGAGCCACCTCCAGAGGCTGAGAGTTGCTGTCCTCTCCCCAGTCCCCTTCTCAGTGCCCACAGCCCTGCACAATATCAGCATGGGGAGCTCATAGGGGAACACACACAGGGTTAGGTCCCACAGCCACAGGAACAGCCCCAGCAGCATTGGCACCACTGGCTCCAGACCTGATACAACTAATGCTGAGATCAGATTGGTCTGCAGCCCACTCTGGGCAGATCTGGTCTTATCTCAACCCTTCATGCCCCACACTGGATGCCAAAGGAGGCTGTTGTGGTTTAGGACTAGAATTTCCCAATCTAGAGTTCCCACTGACTCACTCCAAATCAAGCCTGAGGCTCTTTCACAGGAACACACAAAGTGTGAATATGGAGAGGGCTTAAGAGAAAGATGGGGACCACGCAGGGTGAGAGACAGGCAGGAGGGCAGCAAGAGCTTCAAGTTGTGCTCCTAGTGCCCCACCTCTCCCCCTCAGTGTTGTCATAGGCAGAGGGAGGGACCAGCAGAGCCTGGGCCTGAGAGCAGTGACAGAGGCCCAGGCAGGGCAGGTGTGGGCAGAGCTGTTGTGCAGGCCCAGAGAAGCTGCAGAGAGGCCACTGAGAGCGGGCCTGGCCATGTGGAGTGCCCTGTGCCTGGGCTTCTTGCCCATTGTAGGTAAGTGAAGGCAAGGGCTGCTGGCCCCAGGAGCTGAGCGTGGCCCTGGGCTCTGCAGGGCTCTGGGCAGCTGTGCTGAGCGCTTGCAGCCGCAGCTGTGCCCCGGCTCCAGCTGCCCAGCCCTGCCTGTGGAGCACGGCGAGAGCAGCCCTGCTCCTCTTGTGCCTCTGAGCTCGGCACCTCCATGCCAGCTGCCTCCTCTGCAGCCTGGGCACACGCAGGGCACCTCCCTGCTGCACTCACATCTCGGGGCCCAGCGCTTTGCCCTGGCACTGGACACTGCTCCTGGGCCACTGCCGCCCCTCTGGCACAGACCAGCTGGGCCATGGCAGCACAGGGCACAGGCCCCACTGCCTGGGACAGCCCTTGGTCTTTGCTCTGCTCACCCACAGCAGCTTCAGGGACAGGACACTGGGTTCCTCACCATCCTGTCTTGGCAAGGACAAAGGAATTTATTGTCCCGCCATGGTGCAAATCCCTCCTGCTTCTTTGGGGAAAATCAGAAAAAGCTTCCTGTGTGACTGGGAAAAGGATGGAGGGAAATGTGGTGTCTCCTTCCTTGTGAGCCTTGCTAGCTGCCACCAGCTCTGCCCATCTGTGTCAACTGGCCTCAAAGAGGAGGATTTTGTCCTAGAACTGGTCCAGCGCCAGTGCAAGGTCCCACCAGCATTGCCCTGACCTTTGCTGAATCTTGCAGTGATTGTTCCTTGTTCTCACTCTCTGCAGCCGTCTCGCTCGCCGGTGCAGCCACCTTGGAGCAGCACAGGGAAGTGACCGTGCAAGAGGGAGATGAAGTCACCTTGCAATGCCGCATGAAGGGAGGTGATATGTACTACATGTACTGGTACCGTCAGGGCCCACGGGGCAAGGAATGGATTACAACAGATGATTCTACATATGAAGGTTTCAAAGATCGCTTTAAGGCAAGATTTGAGAGCTCCAAGAACAGCTACACACTGCAGATCCGGGCAGCAGAGCCAGGCGATACAGCAAAGTATTACTGTCGGGCAAGAATCACCCTGGAGCAGCTGTGCAGCAGAGTGAACCAAAAACCAGCAGATGGGGATGACAGATCTCTCAGCATTTCTTTCTGGCAGCTGCTGCCCAGGGCTCTTGTCAGGCAATGGCAGGTGCGGGAAACGCCCCTCTGGCCTGGGGGCACTAGAAGGCACTGGAGGGAGGCTGCCAGAAGGGCTGGTACCATTGATGGTGCAGGAGGATCTGTCCTGGCAACTGCAGAGGCTGCAGTTTGGGGAAGTGCAGGTTTAGTGCACATTGCCTGGGCTCCTGTCCAGCACAGCCTCATTTCTCCTTGGTGCCTTGGCTGCAGAGCCATGGTATGATGGGGATGTGTGGCTGGAGCTTCCACAATGCTGTTCTGGATGCAGCCAGGCTGTTTAGGAAAGCCAGATCAGCAGGGATGACATTGCTCTACAGGGTGGCTGCTACAGAGCACCTGACCAGGAAGAAGGAGTTGAAGTGTGGTGAGTTGACTTTGGTTGTGTCCTCCAGGGGCTCAGCAAGCTGCTGTCCCAGTGCCCCTCTTCAACTGGACAGGAGGAAAAACACACAATTTATGTTTGTTGGCCCAGATAAGGACAGGAAGATTTCACAGCAGTGCCATCATGTACAAACAGATTGACACAAGGAATTTATGTCATTGCCAATCTAATCAATATAGGTTAGTGAGAAATAAGAACAAAGCATGAAACATCTCCTCCACCTGATCTCTGCACAGGGATGTTGAATGTGGCTTACAATCACTTCAAAACATGATTTCTTTGCTATTTCTTCCTTCTCATTCTCTTTTCCTCCTTCAGTCTGGAGTCCAACCCACAGAGGACATTTCTGCAGGAAAGGTTCTTCCCTTTGGCTGCAGTTCCTCACAAACTCCTCCAGCCCAGGTGGTCCTTTCCATGGGGAAGTGACCATGGCACTGTGGCTCCTCTGTGGGGCACAGGCCCTGCCAGAAAACCTCCTCTGGCATGGGCTACTCACTGCATGGGACCACAGCTCCTGCCAGGAGCCTGCTCCAATGGGAGCTCTCCATGCAGTCACAGATTTTGTCAGGCCATTGCACTTAC